AGACTTTAAATCATTTTTAAATGGTATAAAGTATATTTAACTACTGTAAAATTTTGACAGATAAAAAAAATGAATATTTATTAAATTTTTACATAAAAATAATAATTCTAATCAAGGTTATCTGCGAAACTATCCATGTCAAGATAATCTTCCATTATCAAAGTCATGGTATCACTCAAACGTTCCACTTTTACTTTAATAGATGGAAAATGGTTCTTCAATCGTTTTTCAATTGCACTAACAACCCTTTCATTACTTAATAATCCATGCCCTTGTTTCTCAAATTCTACATACCAATTTCCTTTTTCATAATTGGTAAATGGTTGCGCTGATGGTGCTGAACCATAAACTCTATAAGCAACTTTAACTTTTGTGATAAATCTATTCATTGCTTCATTAACAAAACGTATTAAACCTTCACAAAATTTGTCAATAATTGTAACATTTTGTTGTAAGTTACGAGCAGCACCTTTTTCAGAATAGATTGGAATTTTAAAATATTCGCATTCTAATTCTAAAGCATGTTTTGGAACTGGAAATTCTTTGCTCTTAATAAATTCGTCACTCCAGAGAACTTGACCAGTGCGATAATATTCTAAAATGCAATAGAAAGCATGGCCATTTCGATCAATAAAATATTCATTACCACCAGGATAAATTGGTTTAATTGCTTCAGGATTTTTAGGATTAAATAATTTTCCTAAAGTTGTTTCTGGATGAACAATTAAAGTTTTACGTGTGGTTTCAAACTATAAATAAATTTAAATTAAATAATTAACTCCTCATTAAATTTTTGAAATATAATTTTTTCCTCATTAAATTTTTGAAATATAATTTTTTAAGAAAGTTTTATGACTTACTTTAACACCACCAACATTTAAAATTATGATTTCGTCGTCCATTTTGTTTTTTATGACAGTATTTTTAACGTGTTCAAGTAATTCATCCATGTTGTGATTTATAATTAAATTTCTTATTTATAATTCTGTAATTAAATTTATTTGTATACATATCATAAATAGAGGATAAACGTGTAACAGTCACACGAACAAAAGACTAACACAATTCTGCAATTGATATTTGCATTTTTGTGATCTGTGAACAGTAATACTAAATGAATAGAAATATTGCGGACAATAATTGTGTGCCCTTAATACATAAATTTTAATTGTAAGTTGTATTACGAATAATAAGTAGAAAAATTTTACTAACCATTTTAAGTCAATTCTTTTTTGAGACTCTCAGAATACTTGTTACCGTTACTTAGTGTGTTGCACAAAAATTGTGCAATATAAACTTTTTTAACCATAGATGCTGCAACAGCAGATCCTCGATTTTGATTGGATAACGGCCTAGGATCTTCAAAATTTTGTCCCGCATTACATAATTGTTCGCTAATTTCCAGCCGGGACTAACTTTTTGATTTTTCTTTGTAGAAATAGAAATTTTTAAAAATAAGCCCGTATTATAGTAAAATTGGCCTAAGAACAATTTTCGCTTACTGCTATTATCATAATTCCCGAAACACCTGATAAAAATTAGCCGAATAATATCCTGCCTTACTATTTGTTGTTCATGCCTGCCTTCATTATAATTTCCCACGAGATCATATTATGTCCCGGAATCTTCCATGGGAAGTTTCCCGGTCACAACTAATCACACGAAAAATTATAATAAAGGTAGGCATGAACAACGTAAGGCAGGGTATTATTCATGAATTTCCTGTGAGG